TTCAGGATACGGATCCCCTGCGATAAATGAGGGACTACTGTAAATGTACTTTAAAAACACCTTATTTAGCTGCACACATACCTGTTTATAGGAAAACTGACAATCCATTCAACTGACCGTAAAGTTGGGAAGTAATGCAGTGTTATAACAAAAACTAATTTCTGACGTGCATTTTTCAGCAGGATACAAAAACTTCAAAAGGAGTAACCTACCAGTAAATGCACAACTAAAGACAATTTTCGTGTAATAACTTATAGATGATTCTTGCTATTAAGACCAAGTGCAAAACAAGCAAATAAAGAAAGCAGCTTTTAATTACGTCTCACCTTTCCTTATCAAGATACATCAGCTTGGCCACATTGTAGCCTAAAGTCACATCACGTACTTCACATGAAGGATACGCCTCCCTATGAGCAAACAGAACTGGAAGTTACAATAAAGCACATCACATTTGTTTGAACAAACATGCCTGTATTATGACAAGAAGTCAATGTAAGCTAACTTTAAATGAAATGTCCTGTTTACTGCAGTTTACTCACGTGAAATGGGCCATGACATCTGCCTCTGTTGCCATTTTCGGGACTGAACACACAAATAGGACGTTTCTGGTCTGCAGAACCAAACAAAAAATATATAAATAAGTTTTACATCTCCTAACATCCAACATGTCAGTCTAAGCAGATGAATGACTTACGGATTCTCTGCGCATGACTTTCATTTTCGACGTGTGTCGTCTCAGAAACACGACTGTCAGGATCAGGTAGAGAACGGCAAACACTGTATGGAGCCACAACAGGTTGTTTCTACAATTACAAACGATAAGTATAAAATATTTGTTGCGGTTGGACAAATCTCTTATAAATTTTGGACTTTAATTTAATTCAATTCATTTCAAAAATACTTTATTAACAGACAATTCAACTAGTTATATGCATATCTATGGTAATTACCCGGCGCTTAAATTCCCAATAGTTGTCCTTCCAAAACTGTGAGGTTCACTGCCTAACAAAAAAAAATAAAAAAAATTTGGTAAGTTTTTTTCTCAACAATATCTACAGATGGAAAGAAAACAGCTTTTTGTTTATTTTGTTTGTTTTTTTACAGTGGTTTTAAGATGTAAAACAAAACCAAACACTTTAAAAATCACTAGCGGCTGCAGCCGTTAGCTTTAGCTGAAAGATAAATAGTGTGAAGCTAAACCCACTCAGCAGTTTTCCAGTTATGTTCACGGGCAGAATGATTCCAAGGGAGAAGAGGTTAATGACCACCAGCAGGAATATCAAATGACGCTGAAAGGACAGGTAGTGTATCGCATCGATGCCACATTTTTCTTTTATCTTTTCTTCCCTGAAACCCAAACAAACAGGGTGCTAATTAGAAAACCAGACCTCAGGTACTGTGTACTCTATGCAACATGTGATCAAATAGATTTAATTGAGACAAAAGTATTAAATGAAATGAACAACACTCACTCCATTCTGACCGTGTAAGGGAGCCAAGAGCAAAATTTCTGAATATAAAAAAAAAAAGAGAGAAACTATATGACACAGAAACATAAAAGCCATAAAGAAATGACTGCTTTTCTAAAACATTTTGAGAAATTACAAAGACAATGGTACCGTTTCATACTCCGGTTCCTCAACGTTGGATGCAGTGGATGGCATTCGCCCATATCGGCGGTGCGACGACTCATTGAACCTGATGCACAAAGAGAAATTTACTCCGTAAACAAGATGATCGACATTACCATTCTTCTAGATTTTCATAATCAAGTCAAAATGTTGACAAAAAGCTTCTAGCTTCAAAAAAAAAAAAAAAAAATAATAATTTAAACCAACCCTTCTTTGTCTGCAACCAGAGCTAAACGACCAAAGTCCCAGAACTTCACTCTGATAAATGAGAAGATGATCAGCAACACCTGCGAGGGTCAAAATAACAGGCAATTTACAAGTGGTGCGGCAAACTCGGTCAAAACCTCAAAATAACTCAGAAGATTTTTCAAACACTTCACTTGAGATATGAGAGAAAAACTGACAGAAACGTACGATAAAAACAATGAAGTTCAGCAGCAGGACAATTGGCACTCCTCCAAATTCATGGCCTGCCAGGACGGTGCTCTGGTTAAAGCAGCTGGGGGAAGAGGTACTGTTTGCAGCCAGCAGAGGCAACCAGAAGGAGGACATCTCTGGACTAAGACCAGCAGTTTATCTGCAGAAAAAAAAACACAGCAGTGTACCTATAAAAGTATCTACCACCCTGCTATCGTTAAAAATAGATTTGAAATTCTTAGACTTGATTTAGAACATTGTTTTATTTTTTGTTTTGTTGCAAAAATGCAAATAAAAGCATTGACAACAATTGGCTACAAGGCTTTATTGCTACAAAACATTGAGATAATTTTTATTATTAATTGTTATTCACCTATTTGGAAATGTTCTTTCGGCTGCTTCCTTCTGCAGGGGTTGCCACAGAGAGTGAACTTGCATTAAAGATTTGGAAATAGTTTTATGCGGGACGCCCTTCCCGACACAAACTTGGCTGGGTTCGGTGGCCTCAGGATTACAAAGCTGTGATCCTTAACCACTGAGCTACCGCCGCCCTTAATGCACTTATTTGGAAAAAAGTAGTAATGCAGTTCTGGTAATGTGTTTGTGTAGATTCTCAATCATCTAAGACGGAAAGCTTAAATAAAGCTTAAAAACACATCAGCTAGAATAAAAACCATAACAAAAAAGATGTCCACTTGTCTCCTTGGGAGGACAAAACTATCTTTGACTATTTTGAATTTGGTGACAAACGCATAGTGAAAACTAAACAAACAAACAAACAAAAAAAAATCAGTTTTTGTAAAGTCACATGCTTAAAAAAAGTGAAACATAAAATGTAAATAAAAATAATAATTCACAACAAATGTATGCGACAAGATCAGCAGCTGAAGTTTTGAATCCAAACACATTAACAGTCATGCTCGCAAACATATTGGACATATTAGTCATTACTTGTGTAAATAAACATAAAAAAAAAATACTGTAATCTGAATTAAGCAGCTCTAGTACAGGAATGAACACACTGCTGTCACACCCAAAGCTTCCTGAATCTGACGAAGTCATGTGAAGAAAAATAAATGCTTTTAAGTATGACGAAACTGTTGTTTCCAAACGCTAAAAATGCACTTGAACGTCTCAGAAATTACCTTACGAGGAGCGATGTGAGGCAGTTTCTACTCAAACAGCTGTTAGAAACTTAAGACTGACAAGAAAACAACAACACTAGCTGTGGTTATAACAATTTATAAACACGTACCGAGCGGAAAGTCGCACAAACTATGTTGTGCTGCTAAATGAAACATTTGAAAACAACTGCTACGGAAGGTACAGAAAGTTTGCTAATGCTAATGAGAGGCGCTTACCTTCAACTGCGTCCGGTCTCTGTCAACAGCTGCTGACACAACTGGATTTACTTGTGTAAGAAGAGGAAATACCACATTGAAAGATTGTTTAGGGGTGTGGTGTAGTAACGGTCCTTGATTAAAACTGTCCTTATTTAACTGAGCAGTACATTCGCATGTACTGTAAATAACAGAAGTGAGTTATTTCCGTCCCTTCCCGTTTACTTACTGTGCCGCGCATGCGCAGATCCCACAACTCTAACGTAGTCCAAGAAGGGGTCTCGTGCTCAGAGTGCTGTCAGTTCAGGCTCAAAGGAGAAAGTTGGGTTTTTTCGGAACTTTTTTAAATTTCGTGTATTCTGGGTTTTAAGTTTAGTCTTTTGACAGGTATGACAAGCAGGAAAATACAGTAATATAACTTATGAAAGAAATGAAGATCATGTTTCTATAAAAAAATCTTTTATGAGTGATTGAATTTATAACATGCATGGATCGGTGCTTTAAACACTACAACACCTTAAATTCCACAACATTTAACAGGTTAGTCATTTTTAAGGATGACAGCAATTTCTTATCAGGCTATGCCTTTCAATACAGATCGACTGTTCCTTTGAGAACTTCAATATGGGTTTTTTTTTTAGCTTTAAAAGACAAGGAGGGGTGTGCTGAAAGGAATTCAGGGAAGTGCTGTTCTTTGAATTCCAATGCGATAAAGAAGATTCATATAGCTTTCAGATTCTATGGTTTCTTAAATGCACGTATTTGTATTGATTGTGTCCATATTTGTCAGGTTTTAAGAGCAGAAGTGTAAAAAGCATGGATAGAATCATGGAGGGAAAGGGTTTGATCCCCTCATTTAAGATTTGGACCAGGGCTATTCAACTAAGTTGCTCATGGGGCCACAGTTACTTAAAGCCAAGTGCTAATGGTCCAGAAATCCAGTTTTTGTCATTAATTAAGCTTGTTTGACTGTTTAAAGTCTAGTTTTATTTCATTCATTCGTTCAACCTTTATTTATACAGGTTAGTCTCATTGAGCCACGAGATCTCATTTACAAGAGGGACCTGTTCCAGACAGAACATTTAAAGTACAGCCAACAATAACAGTAAACAATAACAATAAAGTACAGTAAAAATGCAGTTAAAACAAGAGTATATAAAACAACAAATCAGGGTGCTATAAAACAGGGTAAAATACTAAAAACAAGAACATATCTGCCTTGATTTTTCCATTGACATTATCAAAAGTTTAAATAAATAAATAAATTTTAAAATGAACTCATTGGTGGGCCGAACTGAGCTCACAAGTGGGCCTGATTTGGCCCCTAGGCCGCCAGTTGAATAGCCCTGATGTAGACTATTCCAAAAAAAAAAGGTAAAAATAACATTTTAAACACATTGAAAAATTAGGCTATATATTATACACTTTAAAAAATATATAAACATAAAACAATAATGCCTAGACCTCCAAAAGATCAAAAGCCAATCAGGAGGCAGCAGGTTTGTTTGTTTCTGTTCATCAGTAACTGGTCAACAGGACAAATATTGATGGTGCACCAGTCATGGTGGCCAAATCAAAAAAATATATATACATATATTATACGAAGTTACAACTACTGCATCACCATGCCATCAATTTATAACATGTTTTAAATTGTAAATTCTGTCACTCAGAGCAAGTCCAGGAGAACCTCTAACAGTAAAGATTTAAACATCTAATTTAATGTAGAGAGGCAGGCATGGAGCAGCACGGTGGAACAACCGGAAGAGCTGCTGCCTCTCAGCGAGCAGGTCCCTGGTTCAAATCCCGGTCCGGGTGCCTTTCTGGGTGGAGTTTGCATGTTCTCTCCGTGCATGTGTGGGTTTTCTCCGGGTACTCCAGTTTCCTCCCACAGACCAAAAACATGCATGTTAGGCTGATTGGTAACTCTAAATTGCCCCTAGGTGTGAGTGAGAGAGTGAATGTTGTTTGTCTCATTTGTCTCTATGTGTCCCTGTGAAGGACTGGAGACCTGTCCAGGGTGTACCCCGCCCCTCGCACTGTGATTGCTGGACATGGGCACCGGTGACCCCCGTGACCCAAAATGGAAGAAGCGGCTAAAAGATAATGGATGGATGGATGGAGAGGCAGGCAGACTGAAGCTTAATATGAAAACACAGAATCCCAGCAGCTATAGCTATAAAATCTACAATTTGAGTCCAGCAGAGGTCACCAGAGGGACACATCTGTGGAGGGAGACCAGCAGTTTGTCTGCAGAGACCACAGTGCTGTACATTTGAAGGTAAAATTTATACCACACCAGTTCATTTTATTAGAAAACCTCTACTTCAAAAGCTAAAAGCAAATTTGACAATAAACGCTGGTTAAAATAGAAGTTTTGCTGACATATTTTAATAATCATACTATTGCAGAGGATACATTTTCTCTGTAAATCCTTAAACTGTTGCGCGTTATACTTTTTGAATTACAACAGATGCACATATACCCCCCCCCCCCCCACACACACACACACACAAATGTGCTTTTAGCCATCATTGGGCATCCTTCTTTTTGTCATGCCATGTTCAAAGTGGGATGAAATTCAAGCTACTGGAGCATCTTCTTAACTTATTGACTTTTCTACAGAGTTCAATGGAATTATGTCAGTAACGTTAAACACATCTTACCAGATGATTGAAATGTATAGGTTGATGTATATACAGTATGTATAGCAATCTACTCTGGCTCTCGCTCAAGGCTGACACGCCTGCTGTCCCTCCCCTTGTTCTCCTTCCTCCTGGTCTGCTCTCTGTGTGTTTGAAGCTCCTGGTACACATCTCCCGAACAGAAAATATGAATATGGATTTGGTGAGCTGGACTTTCAACGCAATCAACAAAATCTTTTCAACAAAACGACAGGGGCCTGGAGAAGCCTGTTTGGCTGAGACTCACGTTGTGGGGTACATCATAGATCCGTGGGGAGTTTGACAGCTGATGTGTCTCTCAGTTCTGTCTCTGTATATATACATACACACACACACACATATATATATATACATATATACATATATATATATATATATATATACTGTATTTATATATATGTATATATATATATATATATATATATATATATGCATATATGTATATATACATATATATATATATACTTTTTACATGGCACCATACACTGTGCCATCGTGCTGCCCTTCAGTAAATTCAATTTAGGTTATCTATATACCATGGTGTATGGTTATCCCGTAACCATGGCAACAAGGCAGTTTCTACAACCAACAGCAGCTGATTAACATCTCAAAAGCTCAAGTAATATCTCAACTACAGCCCTAAATTTCAAATGAGTTGAAAAGGATGTTCTGTGGACGCATTCTCATCTACCTGCCAGCTGTGCTCGAGTGCCTGACCACTGAGATCCTGGAACTAGCAGGAAACACGGCTCATGACAGCGGAAGGACAGAATCGTCCATCAGCACCTACAGTTGGCTGTCTGCAGCGATGAGGAGCTCAACAAGCTGCTGGGAGGAGTGGCCATTGCCTTGGGAGGATTTCTGTCCAACATTCAGGTGATCCTGAAGCCCAGGAGGCCAACCAAGTGCAAGTAAACGGATCAACATCTGTGGCCAGTTTTTTCAGATCTGCTATAAGACGGACCATCACAAGAGATCCTTCCCGCCCACAACCATCAACATTTAGAACAACTCTTTTATGAAACAAGGAACATGAGCTACAACAACATTTAATTTCCCTCTGGGATTAATAAAGTATTTTTGAATTGAATTGAATTTGAATATGGCGACAAGTCACAACAGAATGAAAAATGTAAGGAAGACAGCAGATTGCATTGATTCTTGTCACAATCCTCCATCCAGAGCAAATATACAATGTATCTACTGTACCTACTACTGTTATATTTCATGTTTTTATGCTTTTATTCATGTTGCTGTAATATCTTGTTATTAATATTTGATCCTGTGATCTTTTTTGGTAAGCACTTTGATAACAGTTACTGTTTTAAATGTGCTATATAAATAAATGTGACTTGACTTTACTTTACTATCTCAACCAGTTGGAGGCTGAGAATACAAGAAGGAGAAAAAAAACAACAACACAGAAGGATAGGTCAGGATGGGGTTTCTATGGTAGGACAAGCAAAGAACACAATGCTACTGACAACAATAATTGCAATTACAAACAGAAAAAGTAGAGAGTGTAAAGATGGCGGCAGATTGCGGCAATATTGTCATTTTGACCTCCAGCAGGCTAAGCTTATAGCAGCACAACTAAGGGAAAGCTCAGGAAACCCAAACCAATCCTAACTATAGGATTTATCAAAAAGGAAAGACTTAATGAACAAAAATTGGAAGTTGGTTCCACAAGAGGAGTTTGATAACTTAAAGCTCTGCCTCCCATTCTACCTTTAGAAACCTGGGAACCACAAATGAACCTGCAGTCTGAGAGCAAAGTGTTCTGTTAGGAAAATAGTTTTTATTTTTGACATATTAAACTAGAACAACTAAACAATCCTCTTTGTTGATCATTATTAAACATTCACCAAGAGGCAAGCCACAGCTAGATAAATGGTTGCAGCAGTTACGCAGAAATTTGCTGATGAGGTAAACCAGAATGTGCTGGTCTTCCCAAACTGCCTTAGGTTTATATCCGCATAACTTGAGTTTCTTGTTTAGGAGGAACAAATACCAAAGTGACAGATTGCTCATACTTTAGTATGTAGACGGTCTTACTTCCCCATAAATGACTCTATTTTGAAGTTCATTTCTTTGTGCTGTAAAGAAATAATGTAAGTGGGACTACTTACAGTACTTGTCACTCCTCCATGAATCCATAGACGCTGTCACTCACTGATATTATGCCTCATGCTCAGGGTTCTCTCAGTTTGAGTCTCTAGACGTTCATTAGGTAGAAACTTTTGAGAGGTAAGTTGCATGTGTGAAGCGGGTGTGGACTGGCAAGAAAAAGCAGTAAACTATTATTGACACAAAATAATACATTTTAATTGTACATACATTTTGCAACACCCAAGGTCACTTTACAGATTGAAAGAA